CCATGTCGCCTGGAATGCATCTACACCTAGACAGGATTTGAATATGCTGCGGGTAGATTTTACTGCAGAGTTGATCTTTGAAGATTCTCCCAATATACCGACACCCGAGCAAGTTTCGTTCGTCATGGAGCAGCTGAACTACGTGGACTACATCACACAACATGTCTGGACGCTAAATGCTCAAAACAGCATATTCCGAAACTCGCACAGTGTCCGATTCGCCGGAAGCGAGGCAGTGTTGGTGAAATCGAGAATGCTATTCACGGTAGGAAGCGATCGTTCCGGTGCAGACCCAAATATCGACGATCGAGATGGCTTGACGCAGCAAGTCAATCGCTTCTTCCTCGACTCATTGAGGCTTGCCGGGTTCCGAGTGTTATCGGTTAATGCACACATTCATGCCGAAGATATTGAGATCATTCAGATTGGATCGGTTCAGGTCAACTTTGATGCGGCCGTCGTTTTCTCGAAAGAGGCGCCGATTCCATCTGAGGAAGAAGTGACTAGAGCAATCCAGTCCTTAGATTTGGAAGTGCTAAGGACTCAATACCTTGGATCAGGAGGGCCATTGGGAACGTCTGTTTTCAGCGACCCCTTTGCAGTTGTCTTCGTCTGGCCTTGAGCGAAAGCTTGACTTGGAAAGGGGGCGTTTGTGAAGAGGGCTGATCATTAGTGCAGGATGTATGTTAACTGTACTGTTTGTATGCGACAAAGTTTCTGAGTTTTTGTTTGTTAGTTGGTCATCAGAGCCACTTTTTAACGATAAGATTAGCGCCATTTTGACCACAAAGGAAGGAAACGTTGTAGGCAGGCAAAACAAACTCCTGGTGCGCCCTTCGAGTCGTGGAGGAATACAGAGTACGAGTGTTGCGATAACCAAGCCTTGTTATCTTTGGTTGGTTTCTGTCCTGGTGTGCGGGGGTCTTTGTGTCTGAGGCATAGCTATGCACTTAGGGTTCCTGCTTCAACTCGCCATTGGGGCACCACTCTATAACTCCTCCCTGGCAATATTCTACTTGCTCATGATCAAGAGGAGGTGGACAGATGACCAACTCAAGAGCATTGAGAGAGCTGTGCATGGGGCAATACTGTCCTTTACGGTTGGCACGTCTATGGCCTTCCTCTGGAGACCACATTCACAGCACCATCGAATCAAACCCCAGGGTTGAGTGGTTCACTCAGTCCCAGCTCCACTAGTATTCGCGACAGTGTGTGAGGATCATAAGTGCCCGAAAGAAGTGTCCTGTACCCATACCAACATCATCCAGTACCCGCAGTGTAGGGTCCTCTAGTTTCGACCGGAAACAGATCTAGCTATGTCCATCCTGATGACAAGAGCCATCCTCGGCGTTGCTGTCTTGCCCGACGCTAAGCCTCGCGTGGCGTTCGGTAAGATAACTTCCCTCAACTCCCTATCGCTGACTCTGATCTGGTTTGTAATCAGCTAGCAATTTTACACACGTTTTTTAGACTACAGACAATAGAGTTCACTTCACAGGTTCAAACAGCTCTTTCATGCCCAGCCGCATGGCGCAGCCGAGATTGCATCAATACAGTAGATACTTGGGTTTCTCTCAAAGGTACATAACTTGCTGCTCACGTCGCCGAGGACAGCATACTTCAAAGAGACAGAGGCCACAACCGACGTCGCAGCAATCATAGCCAGCCACGTTCAGATCTCGATCGTCACGACAGCAGCACTCAAAGCAGCAAGCGGCCCAAAGGAGATTTCGTCCCGCATACGAACATTTAGCCCTGCTCGGTGAATACCTCCTGGGGTTAATTTGATATTCAGGGTTGAAGGGTGGGGGAAGGTTTTGGGAATTGCAGCAGACTGCTTCATCCTTGACAACTGTGTAGCCACGGCGACGTGGATCGTTGCAACAGCGACAGAACAGGTAGTAGAATAGGCAACGAAGGATGTTCACAAGGATGCAAAGCAAAACCCAAAGAATCAACAAGAGCAAAATCACAGCGACTGGATCCATATTCTTGACATCGTCCCAATCTCGGGGCAAAGCGTCCTTGATATCACTCAAGTCTTTGGACAAGAGATCTGATAGCTCAGAGTCGTCCGAAAGGAAGCGGGAGGGTGTACCGGTATGAGAACCACGGAGGGACGAAGAAGGAATATTGTCAGAGAGGCCATCCATGATCGTTTTTTATAGGGGAGGGTGTGTGATTTTCAGAGGCAAAGATGAAAAATATGAGACGATCACTGTCAAACATACTAGTAGCTGGTTTGCTTTCGGCTTAGTTTCCATTGAAACGTCCATTTGTGGTGTGGGACCTGGTACAAGTCGTAGTAAACATGTAGTTTGAACGCAACTTCGATGCGATTGTTGTGGTTTGCTCTCTGCCCTTCAGGATCTCTGTGGAACAGCCCAAAAGAACAAAAGAACAAAAGAAACTCTACCCCTACTACAAGTGTACTGTCCAAAGGGATTTGTCCGTGCATGTACGGTCAGCAGTAAACCATACACCAAGTTGGTACTAAGTACTTCTAATTAATTTCACTGCATCTATTGTATCAGTTACATTGTTGACTAGGTCGAGGACGGCGATAGACAACGAATAATCATCTAAACTGCACTTACAGTCTACTCGCTCTAATATTTATGGGGGGATTGCGGATTTCGATAAATATAATAGAGAGAATAAATATAATGCTTTCAAGGGCCGGTCCACAGTAAAGTAAGAATGGAAGAGCCGTCGCGTTTACATTTGCCTGCCCTAGCAGCCCTAGCCAAATTCAATGCCCTAGCAAACATGTCAAGATGCACAGTGGATGCCTGGTTGAGAGCAACAAGCAAGCGCAGCTAGTCGAGATAGTTATTTTGAGTGCTCTTCAGCCTTCCCGCAACATTGAGTGCCTAAACACTACGGCTGGTTCGGGGATCACCTCCTTGTTCCGTTCCCGTCATCATCAAAAATGAGTCACAGTTCCAGTTCCGCTTCTGTTGTTTCGTCTTCCAGCGCTTCAATCTCTTAGTCGACGGTTGCACTAATGACTTCGGGCTCATCCTCGACATCGATCCAATTCTCCGCCATTTGCATCACATCGACCCCAGAGTAGAGATCGTAATCAGCCGCAAAGGACCTTGCAATGCAATTGCAGGCCTTGCAACATCCACCTCAGTTTCTTTGGCTTTAACTTGGAGAGCACTCATTAGGTTGCACAAGTCATCGGAATCCGGCTTGCTCAACACCTTATCTTTCATAGGGATTGAAGTGGACCCAAGGTCAGCATTGATGTCTGTTTCCATGGCGATGGGAAGGATGCCAGCCTTTCTCCAGCATCGTCTGATACCATCTTCCTTGGCATAGCGACCGAGTCTGGTTCCAAATCCATTCAAAATGTCCACTTCTCTGCATTGCAGACAGAGAGCCTGTCCTCGTGGACAGGAACATACCGCACCTCTTTAATTGCCACTCGTGTATTAATACATCTAGTCCGGTTCGCATGTAAATCCAATCAGCAAGAACAAAGGAGTTTAGGTCTAAAGTGTTCGGGGGTCCTTATATCCAATTCAACACAAGAATTGCTATGCACCACCGAAAATCCCATTGCTTTTAGCCTATCTAAAGCATTACAATAGCCAATACAAACATTACCCACTGAATAAACAATGCATTATTACTACTGACCGAATAAAACACGTAAACGTCAAAACATCTAGAGCTACAATTCACATCTACGAGTGCAGGTAAAGTAACAACAAAATTGAGGTCCAAGATTGTATATTTAGCATCAATCAGTAGCAAGCGCAAAAACCCTATCTACGAAACCCAGATTCCGGGAAGAGAGCTGCGATTTCATCTCAAGGAATAATACGAACGATCGTCTAACAGTTACCGCCGGAACTGGAAGTCAATCCCGAACAACGGTACGACAAATGGAAGAGAAAACTGAACACAGGTTAACGTGACGGATCAGGAATCCGTCTTTATCCAGTGAGATATCGTCAATCGCGCGAGAAATCAGGAGTTCGATACAGTCACATCCGACGAGCGAAAGTCAACAGTTGCCGATCTACCTATCCACCAATTCACTCAATATCGGGAGTTAGACGCTTCCAAGAGTAGCCACAGTTCTGTCGTTGTGTTGCGCAACTTCCTCTCTATTGGGTTGATGCCTTGCAACGTCCACAACAGTCGATAGGTAGATCGGCAACTGTTGACTTTCGCTCGTCGTGATGTGACGTATCGAACTCCTGATTTCGCGCGATTGAAGATAACTCACTGGATAACAGACGGATTTCCTTGATTCCAGCACGTAACCTGTTCAGTTCACCGTGCTCTTTACACTGGTATCTTCAGATGTACACAGTTCCGGCCGGAAACTGTTAGACGATCGTCGTACCTTGATTTTCTGCTTGAAGATGGGAATCCCGCGCAAGCACCTCTTTCCTGTTAGAGGCTTTTCGATGCTCTGATAGTGTAGCTAGAGCCTTATTCTGCGCACCTCTCCTCTGTTGCAGGTGTTAACTCAATACACTTTGACTCAATACACTTTGACTTGATATGTTTTACCTTGATATCGATCTCGAGATCGGTAGTAGCTCGAGATGGCCTTTTGCTTTACAGTGTTATTTGCTAGTAATACTGCAGCTTATTGGGGAGTAATTTGGTTTTGGATTAAGCTGTAAATAAAAAGTGAGGATTTTCTGGTGGTGCATAGCAATTCTTGTGATTGAATTGGATATAAGGACCCCCGCAACACTTTAGACCTAAAACTCCCTTGGTTCCTTGCATGATCAATTTACATGCGAACCGGACTAGATGATTAATACACGAGTCAATAGTAAAGAGGTGTCAGGTATGTTTCCTCCAACAGCGGTCGAGCTGTGTCGGCCACAGTTGCTCTTTAGAAGGAACACCAAAACCCTCATCAAAAGAGTGAGGACTTGCTCATCCCAAAGATCCAGAGTTAGGATTGTTTGAGTTTTCAATTCTACAGCTTATGAAGGCTCCCAGCCATTGGCAGCTAGCAGACAAAACCCAAGCTGGCGCTAGCAAAATGATCACCAGAATCCACTGTAGCTGCGGTACCAGACTAGCAATCAATAAGCACCTGAGACAATCCAAAAAGATCGCTACCAGTTATCCTTGTCCTTGTGATCCTTAACAAAATGAATATATTTCATGAGATCCATTACTTGTTTCTTCTTCCTGTCATAGGCAATCTGGTTGTTAAGCTCCTTTTTATAGGTGGTAGGTTTGGTGTGTCGATCTGACTTGGAAGTGCGAATTTCCTCTCCTTTCGAATTAACCTCCACTTGGATTCTCCCAACAACCATCTCATGATCTTCATGTTTTCAGGTTTTAGTTCTCGGATCGAAGCGTCGATCCACAACCTCCACCCAACCAATTTTTGTGCTAGGTCTGCCGCGATGAAACTTTCGTTGAGCCAAAGTGGCACCATACCTTGTTGAATTAGTACCTCGGCGCAGTGCTATGGGAAACATCTTGGTTGGGGAAGTGTGGGTACCGTATCGGAGAGAGGGTAATGGATGGTTGGTTGGTAGACCAAGACAAAACCCCATCAAGAGCAGGTTGTCTTGTTGTCAGCACAAGCTCGAGGCTTCAGGCTGCAGCCAACGGCTGATGCCGATAATTGGAGAGGATACAAGTGTACAAGCCAGAGAAGCTGTCAGAGATTTCTGTCAGGAAGGGGAAGCACGGAATGGACTGGAAGCAAGTCCTCCCTACCGGTATGATACCGCGGTACCAGTACATACACGTAACCGCATGCGAAAGGGACACGCACGGGACATGAAGATGAGCCTACCGGATCAGCTTATGTGACATAGACTACAACTACATCATGTGGGTCTAATCGTCTACTTAGAGCCAGTCCAGACTTCAATGGGAAGTTCCAAAATCAAAGATCGAAGTATGCATATAAACTTGGAAATCTAATTTCAAGTTGGCTACCTAATCCACACTATCGAACAGCAAATCCAAGTTCAGAAATCGAAGTTAGCAGTTGGCATTGGCTCAGCATTGGCATCAACAATAATGAGGCACGTACCTCTCCTCTCACACTTGCAATAGTCGCTCTGGCACAATTCAATGTCATATATCTCTACAGTCTTCTTCTCTTGCTTGTGCTGTTGAAAGCAGTAGTCACCACTGGTAACAATGATGGTGGTGGTGGCTCTCGTAAACGTCTCAAGCGACTGCTTGGCTTCACTGCAGTTCTCTTCGAAATTGATCCTTTCTTGTTTGGTGGTCAAGCAGGCGGTAGACATGACACTCCTCCAATCAAGAGGGAACGTAAGAAGATACATCTTATCTTTAAAGAGATGGGAGACACTTATGTTAGACGAGCCTTTCGTATGAGTGAAGAAGATTTTTGGCATCTGCATGACTTACTCAAGCAGCATCTTAGAGGAAAAGTACACTTGTCGCACAACCAAAAGAAAAGGAAGAACGGGGCTGTAAATGGTCTCATTTCCAGTGCCATTCGCCTTAGTGTAGCTCTTCGATACTTTGCTGGTGGCTGGGGCTGCGTATGACATAGCTGTCCTGCATGGCATAAGTCATTCCTCTGTGTACGAAAGCATTTGGATGGTGGTTGATGCTGTGAATAAGACGAAAGATCACCCACAACTGGCCATTGTGTTTCCGAAAGAACACTCCAAGCAGTTCGCAATCGCTCAAGGATTCAAAAAGGCAAGTGAAATAGATATCGACTGTTGTGTTGGAGCTGGAGATGGGATGCTTCTGTGGACCGAAAAGCTGCATCAGTCAGACTGTGACATAGCCAACGTTGCACCAAAGCGCTTCCATTGTGGAAGGAAACACAAGTTTGGGTTGAACTTACAGGGGTTCTGCGACCATGAGAAGCGCTTTACCTCAGTCGCAATTGACCATCCGGCAACCACTTCTGATTATCTTTCTTTTTCCACAAGCAAATTCCATCACCAGCTGGAGAATGGATTGCTTCACAAGGACCTGTGTTTGTTTGGCGACAACACATATGTTAACACTCCTTACATGGCCACGCCATACAGGAACGTTGGCTCAGGACCAAAGGATGCTTACAATTTTTACCACTCGCAACTGCGAATCAAGATTGAGTGTACCTTTGGCATACTGGTAAATAGATGGGGAATCCTGCGCAGACCACTGTCGGCATCCATGGGATTGAAGAAGGTGACAGCATTGGCAATTTGCCTTTGTCGTCTCCACAACTACTGCATCAACCGAAGGCTTGGAGAGGATGGTGTACCTGATTCATTGGCGCAGGATACTTTCGAGATTGAGTCCAGAGGAGGAATACCGCTGGTAACAACCATGCTGAATGATAGCTCACCAGAGCAACTCTTGCATGGAGGAGAACACTTTGATGATGTCGACAGAAATTATAGAAGACAGGAGGAACGGGAATACAGGAGATTAATAGATATCATGCCACGTGAAAAGATACTGAGGATAGTGGATGAATGGAGTGTTGAGCGACCAAGACCTGATGCATGGCAGAGGTTTGCATGATTAGCTTTCGAGTAATTGATTTAATGGATGGCATCACTGTTGTTCACGTACCTAGTCGGTCCCTTCATTGGACGTTTTTTTGCTCTTGGAAGCTTTCGTTTTGACTTCATAGGACTTCTTACGGCGCTTGAGACCCTTTACGATTTCTTCTTGCTCGACAATGCTTTCCTGCCAGATGTCACGCTCTTCTTCACTTGAAGCCTTTACCTTCTGGATTCTAGAAAGCGTGAGTTCTTTGTTGGCATTGGTAAGATTCTCAATGACAGCTTGATAAGACAGTTCAACTTGGGAGTTACCGAGTGACCTTCGAAGCTGCTTCAACTCAGGATCATCTTTTCCTCTGCGTGTCTTTGTTTCTGTTGTGTTTGTTGCTACCTGATCTCCACTTCCAGCAATCTCATCGCCCAATCGAGTAACAACACAGCAAAGATTGCCGTGCTTGTCTGCAAGATGCCAAAGGTAGAGATGAAAAGACTTGTGTCCAAGGCGCTCAATGCAAAATTCAGCCCTGTTATCTCCAGCGAGTAGTCGCTCTTCGGACAAATGCTCAAACTGTCTTGCCGGTTCAGACTTTTCTTCTTCACCATCGTCTTCTGGCTCATGATCAATTTGCCCATATCCATTGCCACTTCGCTCCCAAGCGTTAACGATCTTGTTGCACTTGAGCTTTGCTTGGTTCCACTGTTTCTTGATAAAGTCAGCCGCGACTTTGCCATTGCCGGGACAATCTGTGGAGAAAATGTCTTGCTCAATAATAAAATCAGAGTGTAGATCCAGAAGGGCTTCCACAGTTGCCACCCAAAAGTCATCATTGTACTTCTTGGCGAGAGCTTCCCAAAAAGTCATGGGGCGATCCTCTCTATTTCTCGCATCCAACTCATGTCGATCAAGGACACTTCCTTCCTCCAACAAATACTTGCGAACATCATCATGATGGGCTGCCACAATCATGCGAAGATTGGGCAGAATCTTGTTGCGCCATAGCGCATTTTCGCCAGTGCCAGCGGGAGATTCTTCATTATCCTTGCGAGTTGCCGTCTCAGCCAGGTGGTTCTGCGTGGCAGTAAAATATGCCAACTCATTCTGCTGGAGAAATGAAATGCAGGATGCATCCTTGATGGGATGTTCGCTCAACCACTTCATCAGCCTATCTTGCTTCCAGTTGCTTGGGCGGACCTTGTCTTTGCCAGTGAGACCAAGCTGAAGGCCACGGCGAACCACCTCTTTTGCGAGAACAGCATTTTGAACCTTGAGTTTGTTTTGGTTTTTCTTCTTCATCTGGGAATAAGGTTCCTCAGACAAGTCACCAAGCTTGCGCCCCCCATCCTCTGATTCCAAACCAATACAGAGGCAAAAGAGCATACTAGCCTTGTCATTGCCTGACTCCAAGTACAGCTCACGAGCAGTTTTGAAAGTTGCTGGAGCGGCGGCAGCATTGTCAGAGGAAGAATTAGATGACCTTTCAGGTGGTGCTCGAGGCGGCACAGTTCCAGCAGCAGAGGGATCAGCAGTGTCAGCTTGCCATGGCTGTCCAACAGAAGAATCAACAGCATTCTCCTCATCACTCAAGGAAGAAGCAGTGGCGCTCATGGTCGCAAATACAACAACAACAACAACAACAGGAAAGAAGGAATGGCTGCTATCAACCAAACAAACAAGAGTGACTGCAACTGACTAGCTAGCGAGCGATCTATTCAACTGAAGGAACATACTCAATAGACTGGCTAACTCTATAATAATATATCTGTTATGATGTTATCCTAATGATGCCAGCACCTCATGCACATGGATAGATGTTGATACTTTGCGAGAAAACAAACATGTTGAAAACTCTCGAGAATCGCAGAACTGCGATTTTTTCCAATTCAAACTCACGATAGAGTTGGGGTTTGACAAACTTGGACCCAAAAGTGGATTTCCCGACCAGGCCACTTGGATTCAACTAGTGGCCTGGGGGTTCGATTTTGGGTTCTGGCCAGTCACGATTTCAGGTTTTTGAGTGGAAAAAACTTCGATTCTCGAACTTGGATTACATGTGCTTCGTACTAGGTCTGGACTGGCTCTTAGCTAGACCTTATCATGCCATCCATCCGGGAGCTCCTCATTGTCATGCCGCCACAATTTCCCTGCTACCTAGTCTACGAGTAAGAACATTACGTAGTACTAAGCCATTTGGGCAGGTCAACAACACAACAGCTATCTACTTGTAACATACTATCTTGGTTTAACTTGATTGGCCCGGGATTCAGTTGGCGGTGGTCTAACCCAACTACCCAAAACATCCACTTTTAAGAATGATTTTCTCATACACAGAGACATAAACATCACATCCGCCGGTATGCAGGCGAGTGTGAATGAATGGAAGAGACTCTTGCAGCTAGCTAGGTCGTCATTCGCATTCTTCGATTGCACAGGTTGTCGTCTTTCGTCGACTTTTCGCTGCTGATTAATCCTTCACTTCAAGTTGTCCTGGAAGTTGACCCCCAATGAAGAGAATTTGTTGGTCGCAATCACAGTCTTGACGGCTGCCTTGAATTTACGTTTGGCGTTGAATGCCTTGAACTTTTCCAAGTTAGCACCCAAATCCTTGCCAGCCAAAGCTGCATCATCTTGAATCATCCAAGTGTTCTTGAGAGATCCATCTGCACTTAATCGCTTGCTAGGGTTGACGGTCAAGAGACTGGAAATCATTGTCTTTGCATCCTCACTAACTTGTCCCCAGTATTCGTCGTGGAATTCGTAGTCTCCCTTTCGGATCTTACGGAACAAGTCACGCTGGTTTTGCTCGATAAATGGCGGGTAGCCACCAAGCAAGATGTAGACAATTACACCAAGAGACCACATATCCGCTTGGGTATCATATTGCTGCCCTTCCAGAATCTCGGGAGCGACATAACCAGGTGTCCCACATTGCGTCTTGAGACTGTTTGGTGTGGTGCACTTTTTGGCAAATCCGAAATCAGCAATCTTGATGTCAGAGTCATTGTCTTGACTCTACGGTATTGGAAGGTTCAGGGATAAAGAAAGTATCAGGTCAATGCACACGTCTCCAGAACCACATCATTAGATAAGAAACTCACCGTCAAGAGCAAGTTCTCTGGCTTGAGATCCCTGTGAGCTACTTGGTGTTTGTGGCAATAAGCCATAGCCTGGAAGAGAATCTTGCAAGTGTCTCTTGCTTCCTTTTCATTGTAATAACTTTTCTGGACAATACGATCAAACAGCTCGCCTCCCAACATCTTTTCTGTGATGAGGTAGTAGAATTCCTTTTCTTCAAAGACATCGTATAGCCGGATGATATTGCTGTGTTTCAGTTCGGAAAGAACATCAATTTCGTCCTTCAAAGCTTGCTCATCTTCTTGGGTAAGCTTTGCTTTGGTGACAATCTTGATGGCAAAGGATTCACCCGACTGCTTATGAGATCCTTCCTTCACCACGGAAAAGGCACCTGATCCAAGCTGTACCGTACCAATTCAAAAGATAACGACATTGAATTGAAATGGTGAGAACCACAACAAAGATGTGCGAACACCACAAGCTCATTTCGCGCCAATCGAGAACCACCCGGTGCGTGCCTTCTCACCTCTTTGCCAATCTTGTAGAGTTCATTAAACCTCTTGCCACTCTTGGAATCCTCAACTTGAGCTGGGTCCTGTTGATACGGGCGAAGGATAATGGTCAGTTTGATCAAAACAGCCAGCTGGTTGGTCCTGGTGCAAAGATTCTTCCGATGAGATACCCCAATCAATGTACCGGTAGAAGCATTATCTTACCGTAGCGACAGCGCCACTTTCCTCTGCTGGTGTTGAACTTCCGCAACCCATTGTGTTAGTTTCTTTTGGTACTAAAGTGTTTGCTTGTTTTCTCTCTTCAATGAGAAACAGGTCCTTGGAGTGATGGGCACAAAATCGAAAGCCTCCAACACAAGTTTGAAAGTTTGAAAGGGCATGCGACGGTCACTGTTGAAAAAGATGCCCCCTTTGCCTTGGGTGTCAAAAAAGCAGTTGGCGAGAGGGCAAAATCCAAAAAGACACCCTGTTCTCATCTTTATGGTCGCACACGGCTCCTTCTGAAATTTCGAATCGGGTCTTATGAAGGAGCATTCTTGTTTTGTTGGCCATAATTCCTGATATTGGCCAATAAATCCTCGTATACTACCAATAGATACCATGCCTAAATGTAGAAAACTATAGGTACTGTTGGCTTTTCACGTTCTGAAGGCATCAACAAAACACCCCCAGCTAGCTAGCTGGCCCCTACCGGTACCGGTAGCCCCTAGCCCCCAGCTTGTACGGCTACCGGTAGCATTATTGGTGCTACAGGTACAACATACATGTAGTATTTGATACAGTGGAGGGACGAGGGAGACAGGTCGAGAGAGAAAGCAGAGGGCAGGGCGAGTCGAGTCCTTTTTTTATTACTTAGGAGATTGATTCATCAGGCGAATTCAAGCAGATAGATGAATATTATTTTTAATGTCAGCACTCAGGTCTGCTGCCTTGTGCTTCTCGAGTAACCAACCGACTTTGCTCAAGTTCCCACTCCTAGCTATCTACTAGCCCAGATGGTGCCTTTTACTTACTACCGAATATCAAGGATTGGTCAAGCTTGCAGGAAATCTGGCTGCTTTTGTCCCCACCACCAAGCAGCCAATAGGCTTTTTTAGTACACTCCATCTGAAGCAGCCATCGTCCTGGTCTAAACAGCTGCACAACTCATGTTACCGGTAGCTCGTGTACCAATACGTGTACTTCTGTTGAAACGTTTTGTGCCACTCTCTATTAGATCTATCAGTGGCTTGCCAAATTAGGTGATGAAAGCTAGACTACAGGAAATTTGTTTTTTGCCGTTTTGGGGTCGCAAAAAAAGGTAGGCTGTGTCTGGCCGGCGATCCAAGTCATCATTTTTGTGACACCTCGAAAGAGCAGAGTTTGGTGCTGCGGCTGTGGTGGTGCCGTGTGCCGTAATCAATCGGCAGTTAGAGCTTTGGATCCCTCGGACGGATGAATGAGAGTCATCTCTGTCTTGCCCCCTGGTGTTGACGCTTCCGAAATACCCTAAGCTCGCACCTTGCTCATCACTTCAGTATCTTAGTCCTGTGGTTGATAATTGTAGCTGGTTGAGGTTGCTATCATAGGTAGCAGCGAGCTGGCGTCTTGCTGGTTACAAGAATCTCAATCTGATCAAATCTGTGGTCTTTTCCTTCTTGCTGGTGGATTCGATCGATCATTCTTGGGCTACCAAATCCGACAACAATACTGGAACACAAACCGCACAACAAGACACACCGTATAGAATCGAATCGGATCAAACAAACAAGAGACAAGGGCAGTGTAAAAGTCGAAACATCTGATCGAAACGATGGGTTGTGGATCCAGCAAACCGGAAGATGTGGCTATGGGTGGGGACCCGAGTGAACGCAGTTTCCGTAGTGGCCGCTTTGGCCTTGATCCCCAGTTGAGTTCCAGGATCATTCAAGGGACAAAGGAGGTCGTTGGTGGCGCTGTCAATGCGGTGAATGATGTAGTCATCAAGCCAACGATGCATGCAACAGAGAAAGTTGCCTCCTTGGCGATTGCTCTCCCCACAACTCTAGGACAAGGCATCAAAACCCAAGCTCATCACTTGAGGAACGTGTTTGCGGCGCCACTGGCGGCAGATGATCTCAAGGGATTCACATTACCCGTATACAGCAAAACTGAGGAAGAGCGAAAATTCATATTGAAGACTCTCTCAGAAAGCTTCATCTTTGCCAACCTAGAAAAACGAGAACTATCCAGTATCATTGATGCCTTTGAAAAGGCGGAATTCAAAGATCAAGCCGAAATCCTCAAACAGGGAGATGAAGCAGCTGATTTCTTTTACCTTATCTACAAAGGAGGAGTTACGTACCATGTCGATGGAGAGGAAGTGGGCTCTTCTGAGGCTGGATCTTCCTTTGGTGAACTATCACTCCTCTACAGGAGTCCTCGTGCTGCTACTGTAAAGGCAAAGGGAGAGTGCGTCACATTCCGAGTCGATCAAAAGTCATTCCGTTCCGTCCTACAAAAGAAGAATATGCAGTCAGCTGAACAGAAACTAGAACTCTTGAAGAAGGTGTCTTTTCTCTACGATATGGAAGTTTTTGACCTGCAGAAACTCAGTTCAGCCATGACACCGGTCAATTTTGAGCCCAAGGACGTTCTCGTGAAAAAGGGCGAAGCTGGTGATGCGTTTTTCCTCATTCAGGAGGGAGAAGTAAAGGTCACGGATATTGAAGTTGGAGAGTCTAAGTTCGAGGACGCTACGCTTGGTGAAGGCGACTACTTTGGCGAAAGAGCCCTCATTACCAGCGAACCACGTGCTGCCAATGTCGTTGCCGTCTCCAAGGGTGTTGCCATGAAGATCGACAAGAAAACCTTTGAATTAGTGTTGGGAAACTTGTCGTCTCTAATTGTGAAATCGCAAGACAAGCGCTTGTTGGTAAGCGTTTTATTTGGCTCCAATTCAGTGTGTCCCTGGAATTATTGACATCTCACAACTGGCTTGCTATCGTCCCTGTTGATGACTCCAGGCCGGAATCAAAGTAGTTCACGACACCTATCTGGAACCCGCAATCTTGGATGCCATGGCAGGTGGCATCGCTGATAGGAAGTTCCCCAAAGGAACGGTACTAACGACGGAAGGTGAAGACACCGAGGCAGCAATTTATTTGGTCAGATCCGGCAAAATCGCAATACAATCCAAGGACGGTACCAAAGATGTCCATGCTGGAAAGGGTACTTTCTTCGGGGAGGACACCCTGTCCAATGATCGCCAGTACGCAAACCGGGGCAACAAGACGGATGATTTAGAGGCCAGTGTGGATATGAGCTCTGAGTATGTCATGTCGAAGCCTACAACAACAAAAGCGCATTATACAGCTGTTGTGGAAGAAGACGCAGTGTGTGGTGTGCTAACCTTGAAGTCATGTCGAACTCTGTTTGATACTACTCGACTTGGGCGTGGAAAGGGACCGTTGGAAATGACCGCCTCCATTGTGGAGAAGAAGGCTCAGTTGTCAGACTTGAAGAAGCATGTGATGCTTGGAACGGGAACATTCGGGCAAGTGTGGCTCGTTTCCTTGAAAGGCGACGACGACAAGGTTGATGTCTATGCGTTGAAGATTCAATCAAAGACCGAACTCATTCAAGCTCACCAAGCGAAGGGTGTTGTCCAAGAAATGACTATCATGAAACAGCTCAACCACCCGCTTCTGTTACGGTTGGTCAAGACGTTTCAAGATGAGCAGTTTGTTTACATGATGTTGGGACTGGTGCAAGGGGGTGAACTGTTTAACCGTATTCACTCGCCAATCTTCGATGGTGTCCCCGAGTCCACTGCCAAGTTCTATGCTGCTGGAGTTTATGAAGGTCTTGCGTACATGCACCGTCGTCAGATCATTTACCGTGATTTAAAACCCGAGAATGTCTTGATCGACACGAAAGGGTATCCTGTGATTGTTGATTTTGGATTTGGTACGTCTTTCCGGGCACAGTTTTCTGTTTTTGCCTCCGGTTTTTCTTACCGTGTCCTTCGCTACGTAATTTTGCAGCTAAAAAGATTGTCGACAAGACGTACACATTCTGTGGCACACCCCTGTACATTGCGCCTGAAGTTATCTTGAATCGAGGGCACAATGCAGCAGCAGATATCTGGTCACTGGGCGTCCTCATCAACGAAATGATCACGGGTGACACACCTTTCTACAAAGAAGGCATGGATCAGCTCGACCTGTATCGACAAATTTGCTCTGCGAAGTTTGAGGCTCACCCTATTCTTCAAGGGAAGACCCAGGCAATCGACATCATCAACAAATTGCTCAGCAAGGTACCAAGTCAAAGACTGGGCCAGCTGAAAGGTGGGCAAAAAGACATTTTCGGTCATCCTTGGTTCAGTGACATTGCGTTCGAGCAGTATCGTGCAAGGGAAGTGAAGGCTCCCTGGATACCCAAGATCAAAGACCCTCTGGACAGTTCCAATTTCGATAGTTGGAAGCATATGAAGGACAAGACGAAGCAAAAGTGGCCTCCTTTGGATGCACAGAAGCAGGCAATCTTCGCGGGGTTCTAAAGCTGGGGGGCTGTATTCTGTCGTCGCCTTTTGTGATAAGAGCAGTAACGAGACAATGCCTGTTGAGTTCGTGTCATTAATAGAGTTAATTGTTCTGTGTCTTCGTTTCATTTCAGACACACCGTTGGCCACGAGCTGTCCTCATGTAGCTTTTGGTGCATTATTTCATACCGCAGCCCTCAGAAGACTCCTCGAAAAGCACCGTACGGACGAGAAGAGCTAACCCCTAGTCGAAGCCATTGGGTAACAACCTTCTTTTCCCCCACGTATACGGGACATCCAGAATGCATTGAAAAGCCGTTGTCCATTCTCATGGTCTCTGGATCAATGTAGCTGAAGAACAAACCATCACCAGTTTTCGGATTGATGTGGATACCAGCGTTCTTGAAGTTGGTGTGGCCACCACTTGTAGCTGTGCCACAGTACATGATCATTGTCGCTACCCTTCCACCAGTCCGGTGCTGGGATCCGTCGCTAGGAAAGGTAAAACGTGTGACTGTCAGTGATAACACGGTGACAAGAAGCCAGATTTGGATGGGTGAGTCGAAGCTAAGCGTCCTTACCATGCACCGTCGCAGTGATTATTGTAGAGATCAGGTTCCGTGTCGTTTTGACCTCTTCCCGAATACAGGATAAACTTGAGTGTGCTTTGACCCGCCTCGTCGAGGTGAAGACCCTTGAGGACATGGTTTGCGTAGTTATAGACTCGCCTGGTTGCTCGAGATATTGGATGCCCTGTGTGCTCTAGGTCCCAGGGTACTGCAACGTTCGTCTGCAACGCCTTCCTAATACTCGAGTATAGCTGCCCACCAGCCACAGAAGCATTGCTCATACCTGTCACGTTGGCCTGGTCGATAATTGCCTGGCATTCCTCAGCACTGACAAAGTTTTCAATAAGATGGATCTTGCTGGAGGCGTGCTCCTGCATGACTTGTATCTGGAGAGTCTGCTGCGACACGGGATCTTCCCAGGTTTCGCTACGAAGAGGATTACTTGATGACAACGAGTTGTCGGAGCAAGAATATGCCTCCAACGACGTGGCCAGCTTGTCCCTCACAGTCGCTTCAAATCCCTGCTCCTCCATTGTTCGTGCCAGATACTTTGTGAATCCTTTGAGAACACATAGTGCCTCTGCCTCGTCGTCGTCCTCATATCCTTCACAGTCTCGGACAACTCCCTTGACAATCTTCGCCGCAGCAAGTTCCATCTCTTTTGGCTGAGTGCATCCGCTGTTTTCTTCCTTCGCCGATGCCTTGTTATCAGAAGCGGCACAACTTGCCAGCATTACAAGGAAGAATGGTAGGAGTACAAAGTAGTTGGTGGGGAGAAGCATCGTTCGTTGGATTGGAGTTACAACAAATGGTACTTCTAATACTCTGCGAGGAAGTGAATCAATCCAAACTATGCGGATAAGGAGAGAAGCAAGTTGCCCCTTTGCTCGCGACGAAGAAAGAAGAAGTGCAGACCTTGAGGTTGCTATACGACGACTCTGGTAGACTTTCTACAGGGTGTATCTTATGTTCCGGTTTTTTGTCCACCCGCCCTACACCTCAGTCAACCGAGCGGACCACAATGGTCGCTGCGGAAGATTAGACTAGGCAGCAGCGAGAAGTTCTTCCAACTGTTTCTAAGGTTCCTTGGTACGATGTATTACCTGCCTGGTCTGGATCCTCTCCTGGCTCCTCCTGCATGGTAAGACAGGTCAAAGTCCTATGCAGAGAGGACGGATGATCAGAAGCTTTGCTGCTTGGCACCGCAAGGTTTAGAAGGAAATCAAGCATAGCTAGCTAGTTGGAGTTCAATTCTAGCTAGCACGGTTTCAGCACATTGATCATAGCTACCGGTAGATATTCTTCAAGGGTCTAACTCGAAGCCTTGGTCATGATGCTCTGCTACCGAAGTAAGTACATGTAGCACCATAGCCAATATACCGGTATCACAGTCTGCAGTTCCCTCTCTGGTTTGTTCTTCTCCCCACAAAGAAAGACACTTGCTAGCTAGCCTCTACAGTACGGTACTAGCTAGTAGTTCAGATTGCTAAAGCTTGCTTGTGCAGATAGATCTCTCGCATCCGGCGTCTGGCTGGTACATGTAACTGCAAGAAAACAACCCAGTTAAGCTGTAAACAAAGCGCAGGGAAGGTGCAAGGATGGTTCAGTTGGTCCTTCATTTCAAAAATGGAGCCAATGCAACTCCAACATCCAACAAACACCAACCATGATGAGACCACAATCCATTATTTCTAGTAGACGGAGAAGCACGGTATCGAGTGCGAGGTTTCCGTTGGGGACATTGGCTTTCCCTTTGTTCATAGCTCTAGTGCTTCTGAATAACAGAAGCAATGTTGCACCACCAATGACACTGTCACCGACGCTACTACTTGTAGATTCGACCTCAACCAGCACAGCAAACATCAATTCCATAGAAAAGAAATCTCGCAGCAGCCAGTCCACGGTGATGGGAATGGCCATCGGCTATGATCTGTTTGTGTTTCAGAGATTTGTGGGTTCCCTTCGTCGGAGTGGTTTTACAGGCACCATCATTCTCGGCGTCGATCCGCAAAAGGTGGATTCCAAAGTGGAAGAATACCTGTTGGCCAAGAATGTGACAACGAAATTCATTCAACATGTCAACTGTTCTACTCCATTTGTCAATAACACTGAGGACTTGAGAGCCGCTCAAAAGGAACTACTGACGTGCCTCGCTCCATACCCAAATCTCAAGGCGAGATGGGGGAGATTTCCTCTTCTCAGAGACTGGTTGGCAGAGTGCGAAGAATGCAATGGGCCTGTACTCATCACGGATGTCAGGGACACGATTTTCCAACGAGATCCTTTTGGTGACGACGCTCCAGCAATCAAAGGGCTGCAGGTGTTTGAAGAAGATCCGCGTATGAGAACAACCAATTGGCTTGTCGAGTGGCCAGTCACAGAATGCAAAGGTGTCACCTTTGATGAACCCATGTTGTGCTCTGGAACTACCGCGAGCAGCAAGAAAGAAGATATGCTAGACTACTTGGACTCGATGCATGCAGAAATGAACGCATGGAGTCAAGACCCAAAATGTCACTTTGAAATCAATGGCGATGACCAATCAATTCACAATTATCTGTTTTATACAAACAAGCTTGGAAGTAAGGCAAACGCCATACCCAATAGGATGGGTATCGTCAATACAGTTGGAGCCCTGGCTCGGGCAGTCAAGGAAGACCATATGGCTTACACTAAAGAGAGAGGTGTGCACCACTCGGAAGCTCAAGTGTTCCCTTACCGCGGCACAAAATTTAATCTGACAGAAGGGAGATGGGTTGCAGAGAACTTCCGTCTGACTGACCCAAAGGGCTTTTTCTCCAACCTGGATGGAACTCGATCGTGTGTCGTTCACCAGTACGATAGGTTCGGCTATCAACTAGAGAGGTGGCTTCAAAAGTACTCTGGGTTGCTGGATAGCCCAAGCATAGGAAACTAAAACATATTCGCTGTAACTGATAAGGCCAGTCAGGATGAATTCAACTGATTCGGTGAATTTTCATGTAATTATTGTTGTAAATTGTATCCTGGCTCTGAAGAACACTGATCTTCATGCATTGGATTGATTCGCACTAGTAGTTTGATATGTAGCTTTGACGCTTGTTGCGTTGAGTGGAAGAACCCCGCGTTCAACGCTGCCCCGGACGTGCTGCTTTCTTAACATTCTACAGCAGAAGCAGGTACTTTCTTGCCCTTGTCCTTGGGCAGACGAGCAGAAGAAGCTCGCCTCAGTTCGCTAGCCGTTGACTGCTTCGCTGCAGTCCGGGGTGAAACCGGTGCCTTCGCCGCTGTCTTGTCGTCGTTCTTGATTTCTGACGGAATCCCTGCTGCTCTCGCTGTTGCCGCGTCGAATGATTTGCTCTTGCGTTTGAAAGGATTCTTGAAGAAGCTCTTTTGGGGTTTGGCACTGTCCGCTGTCAATGTGGAGGCGCTAGATGACAAGGAGATATCTTCACTGTCCACTTTCAATTTTCTACTGGACCTGTTTTGCTTTCTGACATTTTTGGCAGCCAACTTTGCTTCTTTCAATACCAACTCCCTCTTTGCCTTGCGTTCTGCCGCATCCAACTTCGCTGGGGGGATCCTTTTGGACCCAGCGCGGGAAATGGATCCTCGAGCTGGCGGTTTTTCTGTGCTGGGTTCTTCATCATCCTTTGCGGACTTGCTCTCTCCACCAGCGTCCATGTCAGTGCCCTCACCAGGAGCTGCAGGGGCCTTGAGCTGCTTTGGTTTCTCTTCCACAATTGCCGAGGGCTTGTTTTCTGTTTTTTGTTCCTGTTCCTCATCCGAATCTGGGTGATCAGCGATGCGTGCAGGCGCGTGGTCCACAATGTGACTGAAGCTCACTGTCTTGCGCATTGGCTTTCGATTTCCAGCTTTCTTCGAACGAAGCGCCGGTTTGGGCGACTTGCTGCTGCCAAGCGACGTCACAGAATGTCTCGAGGAATCGTCCAAACTCGCGAAAGATTGCCTGGGCACACGGGGCGATGCAGCCACTGGTTCCGGTTTGACGGGGGCGACTTGAAAGGATGCCGTCTTTCCTTCTGGTACAGCCAGCGGAAACTGCACTGTGCTACTTCTGCCTAGTGATGCTGCTGCTCCAGTTGAAGCGTGCCTGGGAGGTTTGTCGACGGAAGCGGAAGCCAGCTTGCTGGTGAACCTCTCAGGTGACCCTTCGTCGTCCACTTCGTCCACATCAACGGCATCTACGTCAACGTCCACAGCATCTACATCGACATCGTCCACATCAACGAGACCTTGACTCATTTCAGGCAAACCGGTCTTGTCAGCAGTCGTTACGGAGTCGTCCACCAGGAAGTCTTGAACCAAAACGATGGAAGTTGGCGAGTCCTGAGGAACACGATCCAAGCCATTCAAGACTTGCTTGGAGGGGATGACGTCGTTGGAAGGATAGACGTCGAGAGGATTTTTTAGAGCCGACTTGACTGGAGCTGTTGCACCAACCTTGTCCTTGAAAGGTGGGACAGGTGAGTTTCGCAATATCTGAGAGCTCTGAGCGCTGCTGCTGTCATCAAGAGTGTCGTCCGAGTACTTGGTTACCAACGGTGGAGGTGGAATGAAACTAGTCGCTCTCCTCTGCCGAGGAGCGGTCGGTGGTGGTTGATAGGGAGACAATTTCGGTGGCACATGACGGATTCGAGCAGCTCCTGGTGATGGTGGCGGGGGTGGTGGCCTTGCCGGAGCATCAAATTTGTCCAAGTCACCGTATTGTTGCTGCATGTCGTGATCGATTCGACAGTAGACACCTGACTGCGCGGCCACAAACTGTGACTGCTTGCCTCTTAATTTTTGTTCAGTCTTGGATTCACTTAAATTGGCGAATCGGCCGCCAGGTTTGTCGAGCTTGGTTTCATCAATCGCGTTCAGCTTATCCCAGCTGGCTCCTAACAAAGCCATTGCACCCTCATGTCGCTTAACACTCTCGGACAATTCTTCTACTTCTCTGCTTTCGTCATCCTCGTCCAACTCTAGCGACTCGCCGTCATCATCCTCTTCGTCTTCGTCGGGTTCGCTGTCGGCATAATCCTCTTCTTCTTCGCGGAAGCTGTCTTCCAACATTGCCTCTTCATTTTCTTTGACCTTTTCCGCTTGCACCTTTTCAATCTGATCCTTGACACTGAATAGTGCCAACTGTGAGATGTGTTCCTCGCAGCGACTGCAGCCTTCGACTTTGTCGCAGAGCGAGACAAACTCCTTGAGGACTGTCAAGCGTAGATTCCGAACTTGTTTCTTTTCTAGTTGAACCTTTTTTCGGTAGGCCGCGTGTTCTTTCTTGTGAGCGTTCCTTTCTTGTAGCAACGACTTTTGTTGTTCAGGAGTCATGAGTGGTTTCCCACCGGTGCTTCGACGTCTACCATTCGCGGGTTGCGAAAGAGCCGCCCCACTAGCCAAAAGGGCCGGACTGGAAGCGCGTCGGGAAGAGGACGGAGCAAACAAAATCTGGCTGAGACTGCTATTGTTTTGAATATCTTGTTTCATTTCTTCATTGATAGCTCCGTCCTTGTTGGTTGTGGTTGATGACTTGTTGTTGTTTTCGTTCATGACACGCAAGAGTTGCACTCTCATGGTTTCAATTTCCAACTCGAGGCGTTCGTTCTTGGCATCGGATTCGGCATGCGATCGCTTTAAATCCAAGTATTTGCTTTCCAACACATTGTAACGTAGGTCCGAGTTTTCCCTCAAACGTACAATCGCCTCGTAGGCTCTCGCCAGCTCGTCGTTGGGAGTCGCGGTTGTTTCCGTCTTGGCAGTCGCGGCGCCCTCTGATTCGGAAGTTGTAGTAGCAGTACCGTCCACTCCATTTTGTGCCCTCTTGAGCTCGATGTACTTTTTCTCCAAGGCTTCGTATCTCAGATCCGAATTTTCACGGAGCTTGACAATGGCCGCGTACGATCGCTTCAACTGTTCCTGGAGAGGCGCCGTGTGAGCCTGAAGCATCTCGGGATCAATGTCGCTGTCGATGGGAGGGGCCGCTTGAAACTCGGCTACAATGCGGTCTTGCGTCATGCGAAATTCATCCCTATTTTGCACACTATCCTCGTCGTCGTTATCTTCGTCATCATCAGAGGAATCCGAGTCGTCTTCCGTTTTGTTGCCACCGTCATCATCATCCTCATCGCGGTCTTTGCTCGTTTCGGTACCATTCTCTCCCTCGTCATTCTTTTTCTTGTTCTTGTTCTTCTTGATGCTGTACCGTTCCTTCAATTCCTCTCGGGATGGGAGAGCTTCTGGTTCGGCCTCTCGCAACAAGTCCATGACACTGGCTGGCTTTTCCAACATAATGTCATCAATGACTTGCTGGATCCTGTCGATCTTTCCAGACTCGATTTGTTCCAATTGACGACGCCGACGATTATTGGACGTGATCAGCGAGTCTGCCATTTGCAGGACCAGCGAGGCTCGTTGATGGACCTCATCGTCGGCTGTGTTGCTGCTGCGACGATGCATGGGAGAAGGAACAGTCCTCTCCATCTCCATAGTGGTTGCCATGGATCCCACTAACGCCATTGTAACTCAATCGCCTCTTGATCCCAACACAAAAACAAAACTGAATGATCTTTCAGCAACGGTTAGCTGTGGTTGGCTGTTGTTGTTGGTGGTGGCGACAAAGACTTGTTTAATACCAGTCAAACCAACTCCAATCCGATTGTGGACCTGGACCGAGTTGCTTTTTTAGTAGGCCTCCAACGTCAATCCTTTCGTTCATGCACTGTTTGCCTTCTGAATTTGGTACGCGACCACCACAACTCAAGGATAATTGTGGCGTCAAATGAGCTGGTTTGAGGGTTGAGATGCCATCGCGCACTATCACTCGTACTGAGTACCTGGTACTGAGTACACCTTTGTGTACAGTAAAGAAGTACTACACTACCTCTATTAGTAAGTATGGTACCAGTAGTAAGTATTTTGTCTCGAGTGTCGCAATGTATATCACTGCGCGCAACGTACTCACAAGGTGAAGAGAGGCTTAACATGATGCTTCTTTCACGGTTGTCCCCCTTTTATTGCCTCTCCTAAGTAGAAAAACAAATAAAGAACTCTCTAATTACCAAACAATCTACTTAACCCGCTAATTGCAAAGTTTTAGTTAGTTAAGTCTTAAAGAATCGAGGTACCGGCTGCGACGCTGCTCGTGCTCCAACGGAATTGGATCGTGGATCGAGCGATCGTTCGCAACATTCTTTATAGCTATTAATAACGCTAAGCAAACAATTTAAATAAGCCATCAAGACAGGCTAAGCAACAAAGTTATCGTTCAAGGCCGGAATTGCTGAGGATATCTCGATTCTACTGGATTCGATTCAAAAGAAAAATTTGCGAACGTGTTGCATTTTGTTCTGAAGTTACTTCTTTTAAAATTGCCCCACCAAGCTTACAGTACGCTGTACTGTACCGTTACCGTTTGCTAGAGATCCTTTCAACTTCTTTGTCCTATTGCCCTCATTATTGCACATCAAAATGCATAAGTACGTGAGTTCATGTATAAATGCAGAAATAACAACAGAACGGTAGTCTAGGCGGGTACGACGTACCATACGACGCACAATGCATACTCAAGTTTTCAGTAGTCAAAAGCTTCACCGAGTCTACATACATGATTAGACTCAACATGTTTAAATAAATGTAGAATTTTAAAATTAAAACCAGAACGGTAGGCGGGTACATGTACGACGTACTAGTACAATAAATTATTAGAGTTTTCAGTACCACCGGTAGTAGTCAAAAGCTTCACCGAACTGTTATGTTTGGTGTTTTAAACTGGGACTTAAAGTGTTCATTATTCTGTTATTAGAGCATGTGAGTTCCGTTAATTCTCGGGGCAACTCGAACGAACTCGACTGTCACTGCACATGCAGCTGTATCTTGTGCTTTTAAAAGTCTTTAACAGTGATCAGAATCTACCAGTACTCGAGTAGGCCTGATTGTCCGAGCTATTGTCCGTCAGCCCTGCTCATCAGCAGTCCTCCAAGAGCCACATTCTTAAATATTAGTAGCGCTCAAAAGACTACTCAAACATTCGTTTCTGCCATCTGATTCTGAAAGGCCTTTCCACACTGGAAACTCAAAAATTCCGCATACAGAAATGGAACTTCTCAGCTGGGAGCTCTGGGGTACCATACTGTAATTTATAATTTATGTGTAGAAATACATGTATTCTTTGACTTGCCTTTCCCACCACCTTCTGGCTGCAGTACCGGTGGCTCAACTTGTATCGCGAGGTTTGTACTCAGATCTCAGATCTCTAGCTTGAGCAATCTGAAAGAAAGGAAAGGTGACATCTTGAAATTGTTTGCAAGCATCCTGTGTGGACCGTGTTGGCGTTGCTGCGCGGATGCTCAAAGAGTCTATACAGTCTATTAAAGCGCGGGCAAGAGAAGTTGTCATCCACCGGTTCAGAGCTTGAAGTCCCATACATACTTACATGTACGGACATACGGAGTACTAGTACTTGTATCATGCAATAATGAGTTGTTTCCTCGACTGCTGTTGTCGAGGAAAGCTGGAGCAATCCTCTCTGGATACCGTATCTATTGCCGATTGCCGACGTACTACTGTAGTACATAGCCAGGCCACAGCCTCGCAGAACTGTTGCTGACGTTTCCCAACGATCCAAAGCCAAGGGTTTTAGTTTTTGAGCGACATTACATGTTCCGGTAGCTAGTTTTTGGTTGGTGCTCGCTGGGGAGTAGGAAGTAAAATTCTCCGAAGCATTTCAGATCAGGAATTAGAGAGCTATTGGAGTAGAGGACAATACAATGATAGGCCCTCTGCGAGGCTCATCTTTCAAAGTGCCGGTAGATTGTTCACAGTGCACAATAAGTGTTACCGGTATAAGGAATAGCATCCGACAATCCATGGTACCGGTACACGTAGAATATCGAGAGGCTGCTGATGATCAAGCCTTATCTGAAAGATTTTCTTCCCAAAAGAAAGCAGAAGAGCTTATTATTGGAAAACCATTTGATTGATCTTCTTTGCCACTGTTTACCATAAATTTACTTTTGTACTTTTCCTTCCAACAAAGTAACTGAAGCAGAAAAACGTTGACAATGGTGAATCTTTCGTCTGCCTCCAAGACGAGCGGCAGCAGCTCTTTGAAGATGTTGGTGTGGTATTCCTTCTTTGGCATTCTCCATGAGCTTGCCCACGCCTCAATGGCCCTTTGGATGTTGGGCTTTGAGAACTCGGGTCTGGACACGCCAAGGATCTTTGTTCTTCGAGCTGCATTTGGCCGTGCCTGTACCATCCCTTCACTCTTGGAAGCTACTCCTTGGGAAGCCGCTTTGGTTCGCCATGCCGGATGGATCTTCAGCCTGGCATTGGCTCTTGTGGTTGTGGCCGCGTTCCCTGGAAGAAAGGTTGGTGGTGCCTTGCAGATGGCGGCTGTTGTGACTGCCTTGGAAGCAGTGTGCACAGATTTGTTGGGCGTCGGAGTGGTCAAGGGGGTATCTGCGGCTACCCTGTTCTGTGGAAACTTTGGAGTCATTCTGCTTCATCCCTGTTGGACCAACACTCCAGGTGACAACGGAAAGACTGCACTGGATCTGATCGAGAAGATGATTGAAGTGACCATGATGCGTGGGGCCCAGACAGGAGGTGTTGTGGCCTGGGTCAACAAGACTCCAACTACGGTGGCACCCATTCGCTGCCGTGTGGTTAATGGAAAGCGCACGGATTTGTCTGAATTACTTCGCAAAGATATGAATAAAAAAATGTGCAAAGGCGGTAGCCTCAAGCCATCCATTCGGGCCTTGATGGGGCATACCCGGTTTGCGACTTCCTCCAAAGCCACCATGGATGGTACTCATCCCCACACTTGGAGTGCGCCTGAATTCAGACGTATCTATCCAATGGAGGATGCCAAGCTCTGGAAGAGTAGTGAGCCTGTACCCGTGGTTCGAATGGAATCGAATTATATTACACACAATGGAGATCTTGACTTTTTCAAGGTCAATGGGGAGCATAACGACCTTGATACCGTCCAGAAATGGTTGGAACTGGCTACCGGTCACAAAATGCCCTGCAGTGTTGATTCAGCAGCAATCGCCGGTTTGATTGATATTATTCGCGCAGCTGGATGCTTTGGATTGAGTATGCGATATGCCTTCTTGGTCTCCTGCAAGGGAAGTAACATGAAAACGGATGCACCTCTCCCGACCTACAAAACATACGAAGATCTCGGAATGGAGTTCGAAGCCGGTCTCAAACAATTCTGCAGCAAGAACGGCTACGGCTTGAACGATTTGAAGCGGAGCCGCACACTCAAACGGAAGTTCGTTGACCTCATGGTGACAGCTCTCGCTGACAGTGCCCGTTTCAAGAATTCTCCTCTCCGACGCTGCGTTGTTGTGAAAGGATGCTCATTGGAAGGGGGGCAGTCAGACAGCCCTCCTATCAGTATGCACGATTTTGTGGCCAAGACTGTGGAAGCTTTCTTCTACAACGATATTTACGGTACAACTAAAATCTTCATGAAGGATGCTGTTGGTTCCTTTGGGTTGATGGTGACTACCTCCATGGAAGCACAGCGCCAAATCTGTATTGCCGCCCGTGGACAGCCCATGTCAATTGTCTTTTATCCCGACAAGGGAATTATCACCTATGGATCTGAGCTGGCGGCTGTCAAAGCAGGTTTGACCTTCGACGCCCCCAAGGAGATCCCCAAAGTAAAGCGAGATGCACATGGAAAGTTTGATGTCACAAAGGAAACCTGTCGGTTTGACTTGGATGACCTCGGAGGCGAAGTTGTGTTGGTGGATTTCTCCGAAAAGGCTGCCGACGGACGATCCATAGCCCAGATCAAGGCACACCAAGAAAGCAAGACTACGGGACCCTACTTGAAGGAACGTACCACGCTATTGGATAACAACGAGTTCTTGCTCCCTCTCACAACAACAACCAAAGACCCCATCTTGACGGATATCGAAAGCATCCCCTACTACCTGGAGCAGGTGCAATGTGACTGGCGTGAAGGCGGGCTCAATCGTATAACTGCCTGGAGTCTTGGCCGATGCCTCCGACGTCGCCTCAAGGATCGCATCGACGGCAAAATCCCCGTCAATGGTTCCACCGTGGATGTTTTGATAACTGGCTGCGAGGTGTCCCTTTGGCTCGGAGAACAGTTTGCCAGTGACTTGCAAAAGGCTTTCCCAAAGCTCTTCATCAAGGCCACCAGCAGCAACAAGCTTCTTGGAGTTTTCGGTCAAGAACTAGCTGTCCCCTCCATTGGTTTCCCCATGTCCGATAAAATGCCCGACCTCAAGGACACCATTGTCATCATTGTGAGCCATTCCGGTGGGACCTTCGCCCCATTGGCAGTTTCAAACCTTTTGCAGAGTTTCACAAACAACATCTTTGTTGTAAGCAGTGAATGGGACACTCAGATCGGAAAGCAATTGCGTGGAATGTTCGCATCGGAGAAAGACATCATGGCAAGCCGTGTTTTCACTACCAACATTGGTGTTCGCCCAGCAGAACCTTGCAGCCTAAGTGTTGCCGCAACCCACCAGCTGTTGACGCAGATCTTTGAATACATGTGCATGGTGGTATTGAGTGATCAACACTTCAGACACTTGGCTGGTGCTGCTGTGACCGAGAGGGATCTTCAGGCTTTGGAAAGATGCAACCGAGACAACATTTTCGCTCTTGAAACCATTGTCGGTATGGATGCTTACGGCGAGAGAAAGGATACTCTGGTGAATTCAGATCTCAAGGAAGCTGGCAGTTTGTGGGCGGATCATATTTTGGAGAATGCAAGAGCCTACATCATGTCTTTTGTTTACGTGATTGTGACGGTGACAGTTGGGTACCCGATCATCTCCGGCATTGCAACTGGAGCTGGTCTCGAAGCTGAATGGGCCTTTTACATCACTCGCTTCTTTGACGCCCTTATCTACTTCTTCCTTCCTCAGATCAACATCATTATCATAAGGCTGATACAGGGACGGGATCTGCGTCACCGAATGGTGGGCCGGACTGCTGTCATTGGCGATATTCCATGGGTTGCCCAGTCTGCCGAAGCATTCCTTTCGAAAATTTTTGCCCGCTCATATTCGATTGCTGGTCTCAACGTTCTCTCTGGAAATCCTGCCGACCACTTGGTCCACCGGTAAGTGCATAGAGACGCGAGCCGCTGCTGCATTGGTTGGACGTTCTGGTGGAAATTCTCACCCCTGTCCCTGCCACCTTCATTTTTGCAACGCTCAGGCATACCCACCGAGTAGTACGCGGGGCACTGTTGGTCTGTGGACGACCAGACGGTCGACTAACTGCCCTCACATCCGCTGAATGTGCTGTGAATCTAAGCGTTAACCAGGCTAGCAGCATCCAAAGCATTGACGGAACATGCGAATCCATCACCATTGGCCACAATCCCTCCGAACTCAGTCTTACCAAGAAAGACATCGCCTTGGCTTCAGTGCGCCCTGCATTCTTGTGTGAGAAAATTTTGGGAACCATCGATGAAGAAACATTGAGAAAACAGGCAGCGTTAGCGTCGAAGCAGGAGGCCAAGGGGAGAAAGCTCAACAAAAAGATGCATTTCATGAAATCCTCCACGGACAACACTTCGGACGATGGTAAGAGCGTGGACTCAAGAAGTTTGGATTCGAGCACACATCGCAGTTCGCACAATTTGAAGGGTTTGTATCTGGGCCTGCAGGAGAAGTCGACTAGAATGATGATACGGGAAGCTTCAAAGCGAACTATGCAAGAGTCGGAACGCTCTATCGCGTCCCCTTCCAAGCCCGATGTGGTTGTCGTTCCAGAACCAAGCAGGGAGCTTTCGACTGCGTTCGAAGATGCCGGTCCTGAACTCTCCGTGGAGGAGGAGGTTCTGCACAGCATGATCCAAGAAAACCAAAAATCAAATGAGCTCCGCGAACTCTTCAACAAATTGGACGACGACGGCAATGGTACGGTCGATCTGGAAGAGTTTATCAAGGCTTACGAAACTGTGAACAGTGGTCTTCCTCGACATGAGATTGAAACCATCTTTCGTGAGGGTAAGTTGAATTGGAATAACTTCTGTGGCGCGTCGCTGTGTCAAATCTAACGTTGTCTCCATGCTTTCACTTCATCAGCTGATGTCGATGACTCGGGCGCTTTAGACTTTGAAGAGTTTCGCCAGGTCATGTCTTTCAGCGAACTGGACGTACTCCGCAAGCTTCAGCAGGCGGCGTTCCGCGACGACCGTGGGATGATGCAAGTTCACGCTAGCATGGAGAACTATTTTGGAGAGTCCATGGGCAACGCGCAGTCCCTTTCAACAGTTGGTGACTTCGCAAAGTCCCAGAGCCAGCACTTGAGTATGGAACTATACGAGTCGCGAGTTGCTTCCCTCCAACGTTTCGTGGCCATGTGTGTGATGTTCCATCAAACAGGAAAGCAAGTGCAAGACTTCTTCCCCAAGTATACGTTCGGGTTGATGAACTACAACATGGAACGCACCCACAGCATCATGCGCATTGCCACCACGGCAAGTCCAGTCAGCGGCGACGCCGTGCGTGGCCAGATGGAACGATTGCGTTTGCGTGCCCGGTACCAGAGCGCTGTACATGTGATTGAAGGAGCCTGGGCAACAGCCGACATGCAACACATGAAAAGATTGAAAGAGCAGTGGCGACAGAACGGCCGCCGCCGAAAGAGTGCCTTGGACGTGAGCCTTAGCAGTCGCCTCTCCCTGCAAAACAGCACAGAGTTCGGTCAGCGGTCTTCTTCCGGATTGGACGACAGCCAAAGTAGCGGTCGGTCCTTGCTTGCCACTGTTGCTGCACGAGCCGCTCAAGAACGAGCCGCTGAAGAAGGGGGCAAGATGTCCGACAGCGATTCCGACATCAGCTGTTAAGCAATGGGCAGCCTGACTGTGCCTTGCTGACTGAGAAAGCAAGATCCTCGCCTCTTTTTAAAAAAGACCTTACCGCATCATCCCTTGCATGCTTCCGTCCGAAGTCTTCGTTCCCTCAGGCCTCAACAGGACGGCGACAAATCCAATGCACGCTCTTCACTCCTCACTCCAAACAATGCCAACATTAGAAAGCCCAAATACTAGCATGCTAGCTCCGGTAGGAGAGCACCACTAACAGTTTCATTTGATCCCCAAATACACCACTAGCTAGCTAGCTTGTGTTGTTCTTGTGATGGGATAACCACCGTTTCGTTGGATTGTCACACGGTGGCAGACTGACTCAGATACCAGGTACATCGTACCAGGTATGCCATAGCTACCGTAGTGGGTGTACGGTAAGGTACCGGTACTGTACTGTAAACTTCTTGGATTGCTTGAAACCGGTACATGTGCACCGGTACGGACTGCTGGCACGCGGATTTAACGCAAGTGGATTTAACAAAGAAAATTGTACCGGTACCATACACTGCCGGCGTGCGGCGATGATTCATGGGCGAATTGGCGAAGAGCGAAGATCTACTAGCTAGCTAGCTACTAGCTACTGTACATGTAGTAGAGGGATCGTTGGATCTTTAGTCACACGTCAACACTTTTTCGTTGGACTCCGAAGTTGCGTCAAAGCCAAGCCAATGTGAATTCTTCCCCTTGTTGAGGGGGAATAATTCTTCCGCTCTGCTTGCCGCTTGAGAAATAACCTTGTCCAAGCCGCCAGCAGGAACTGCAATCCGTTTGGCACAATCCTTGCCAACCATTGCCAGCCCGTCTCGGTTTCTGTCTGGTAGGTAGGAGGAATATGATTTGATTTGAGTGGGGCTTATCTTCTGCCGCTGGTTTGCCACTACTATCGTCTGTGCTCTTGCGATGAATCATCGCAAGAGCACCGATGATAGTAGTGGCGATAGTAGTGGTGATGATTCAATCCAAAGCAAGAGCACCGATGATGATGGTGGCAAACCAATCGGAGGGTGATGATTCCATCCAAAGCACAATTGATGATGGTGGTGGCAAACCAGCAGCAAAGCAACAGAAGCCTTGCAAGCTCAAATGGACGCTGGCTTGGATTCGGACGGTGATGAGCAATAGATAAGTGCTCTTGCTCATCACAGTCCGACTCAAAGGCGGCATCCATTTGAGCAAGTAAGGCCTCTGCAAATGCACTCTCCTGCTTCCACCAATGAAGAAGAGGACCTTTGATGATGAAGGTGGCTGGTGGCACCAATGAAGTGCTAGTTTATGAATCTCATGCGCGGCGCCAGTCCGTAGTAGTAGCAACAGCAGCGACAGTGACACGGATACAGATGATGACAGCATCAAGGGTTGATAAAAGGAAATGCAACAATTGACAGTGGCACCAGCAAGATGAGCCTATGAACCTTGGACTATTGAAGAGGTATTGGAGTATTGGATAGGCAATGGCAGCAGAAACACAGGAAAGCAACTATACCAACAAAGCAACTATTCTAATGGTATTCTAGCTACTCCATTGTATCCCATGGGTGTTGTTACGTTCCTAGCTAGTCTACACAGTGTAGTATTGCTGGAAAAGAGAGCCCGTGAGTGGCGCCGGTACCAGGTACGACACCCTCTACCCATGAAAAGAGACTGAAGATTCAACATGCCAGTTAGATATCAACAGAGCTCCACCAAATACTCACCAGGCACCAGCTCTGGCCAGCTACTAATACTGGTACCTACTGGCTAGCTGGCTATGATACCTACTAATACTGGCTAGCTAGCTAGAGCGTTGCGTGGTGGTACTGTTGTACACCGTACTGTACTGTTGATCAATTTTTTTAAAAAGACGATCCTTCCATCCTTCCTTGAAGTCGATTCGATTCGATTCGATTCGATTCGATTCGATTCGATTCGATTCGATTCGATTCGATTCGATTCGATTCGATTCGATTCGATTCGATTCGATTCGATTCGATTCGATTCATTCAACAGGGTGGAACATACATGTACTGGGAAACAGCGAGATATTCTCGCTGTGGGATCGTTCCTCTAGCTAGAGTAGTAGAATGGGTGGTGGCTGGTACCGTTGCATGCTCCGGAGGGCAATAGCTGATGGTACGGAGCCCATGTTGTGGCTCTGGCTCTACTGACGTCATTCCGAAATTGGCAGATCTGGCGAAAATTTTACTTAGAAAAGTCTTATGAAGGAGTCGAGTGAGTCGATCATATTTAGAGAAGGCATGGGCGCGGGCCAACTCTAAAAGGAGGAAAACGCTCCTTGGCCGTTGTTTACGCAGCAAAACCTGACTTGACTTGCATCAGCAATCCATCTTCTGAACCATCCCAGGCTATTCAATAGACTCCCAACAGCTGCTGCTCGACATTCGAAAAAGAGGAACAACGCGAAGTGTAGAAGCTTCGGAATAATCGTCATCAAAAGGAAGAGACGAAATGACTTCCTCTGTTGAGGGAAGATTGATCCATCAGCACACCGCCGCCTTCCATCATCACCATTACTCGTCTCCTGCTGCCCGTCCTCGTTCTCCGATCACTGCAACCTCGTCGGATCGTCAGTACAATCAAACGCTTAGGGCAACAACTGCGGGTCTTCGGTACAGTTTGACACAAGGTAAAAAAGGAATGACAGCGGCAATGCAAAAGGCGTCTCTATCTTCGGTGGCTCTGGCAATGAGGCGGAATTCAAATGCCAGTAGCACCAAGGGCAAGCCAACGGCAGTACAAGACGACCCAGCAGTCTGCAATGGGTCCGCTACAGCCTCTTCGTACAAGAAGTCATCGCCATCGAGCTCGTCGGGGATTGCTTCCTCTCCTCCTGTGCCAGCCCCGCCTAGGCCACCGCCAATTGTTGCCGCCGAAATGACCAAAATCTTTGTGTTGCTGTTGGAGCCCAAAACCAAGACATTCGAGTTAATTCAACTGGTGTATCCATCCGCTATTACTACCATTGGAGACATCCTGCGGCTCATCCCACAACATGCTACAGAATTGGCATTGGGATCTCAGAAATACGTGGGTCTTTGTCGTCCAAAGGATGAACAGGAATTGTCCGATTTGACCGTGTTGGCTTCGGCATCTGCGGCAGCGGCCGGAACTGGCAAGAATTTGAAGTGTGCCAATATTTGTGCAGGAGAAATCCTAGTCGCCATGCCGAATGACTACACTGTTGCCGAAGTGGCGAGATTCAGTCAAGCCATCCTCACCAACAGACGCTTCACCAAGCTACTGAGACGGAACAATCCGTTGGCACCCAGGATGCGCAAACACAGTGAACGCAAAAAGGACCGAAAGAGAAGCAACAGCAAGCACAGGTCTCGAGATTCGGTCCATATCTTGGAGAAACATGATGAAGAAGGCACAACCGACGATGATCAAATGATGCAAAGGGCTCTGGAAAAGGCAGCTAGTGCAGCTGCGCAGGCAAATGCAAATATCCCCACTCCAGGGGCCCCCAACGGACACAACATGCTGAGCACCAGTAGTACCTGCAGCGGTCCACGCAGCAGAACGGCTAGAGGAGGTCCTAGTGGGCGAAAATCTCTTTCCGAACATTTTGGACATTCTGATGATGAGTCAATGGCCCATTCTTCTTATGCCAGTGCTTCGTGGCTGGATAGCGGGGCATCCATCTATTCTACCAGCACCGGGGCAGACAGTCTGGGCGACAGTATCTCATCCTGGTCCAAGTCCCTGGATAAATCATTTTCCAAAACGGGAACACGCCCTCAGTACGCACGTCATCGCAATTTGGGCGTTGCAAATGGCATTTTGGGCACTCCCGCAACTGCCTCTAGTGCTGTCGCCGCTTCTGAAGCAAACCGGCGTCGTCCCAACGAAAAGAAGGGAAGACGACTCTGGATCTGGATTGCTTCCACACTAGCGTTCGCGTACTTGACAGGAGTCTATTTGAATAATCAACCTGAGGATCCTTCTGAGCGCCTGGAAATGGCCAAGAATACTCCCATGGGTTTGATCGGGTTACTGCAAGTTATCGTTGTCATTGTGGGTCTCAAGAAGATGCAGTTCTTGGCACTACGTCGTCAGCGAAGGATGCAAGGGACACTCATACCCAAACCTCCTCGGCAGTCAGCATGCCCTTATGTCCAACTATGTGCCAGATGGAAAATGAAGTGGGGATGAGCTCTCTCCGAAATTTCACCATTTCAAGGACTTTGGCGCGAACTGCACCTTCTCCCTGAAGCTGTTCCGATCTCGTGACACACACGAAAATATACATTTTGTATACGTACTATGCGAAACACAACACAAGACCCTTCAAGAACTTCCATTATTTGAGCATACTTTATGTTCCCAAGCTATACTCCACACTCCACACATCTTTCCTCCCTGGCTTCCTTCCTCAGTGGCTTCCTTCCTCCCTGACTTCCTTCCTCCCTGACTTCCCTCTTCCAGAGCAATTGTATGAAGCAACTTCCAAACGCAACTTACACCATTTTCACTCAGCAAGACACATTTTGGCTCTCATATTTTGAACCACCTGTTGGATGTATGTGTAGAAACCATTCTGTAACAATAATCCACCATGAAGTGTGTGTGTGTGAGGGTGGTCGCTTCCAGTCGATGTTCATCGCCTCATTGGACTCGTAGCCAGTTCTCCTGTATAGATCTAGTGTCGTCAGGCAGTGCAGAAAAGGTATCAGACACGGTACTCGTAGGTCTGTTTGACTATAGTCGCGGGCGCTTGCACTGCTCGGTGGGGCCTCCGTAAGGACGATGTTGTTAGGATGTGGCCGTATGTTTGCCGCACGGCCATACACAGCAAAATGACGACGTCCACTCTGTGCAAAGTGACCTTGACATGGGATGTCAGGATTTACAACGATGAAAATGCTGAAATCGCGGGAGGAGAAGCAGACCCTCTAGCGAGATGGGAGGAGAAGCACACACGCGAAGCAGCTTCTTTCAAATCGATCCTTTGCCAGATCGTTACCAACCTTGCACAACAACGACATGAAGCCTTCACACTGCATTCCCACAACCAGGTCAACCTCTCCGACCCGCACTCAGAAGGAACAAGGCCAACAGCAGCCTAGATCCTGCTACGATACCATTGACAGTTGCCTGCCTTAGGCCTGTCTGGTTTCAGATAGACGACGCAACCTAAAATCATGAGAAACCAACGAACCTGTAACTCTTTATATGCATACCGGTAGCCATCCAGTCCCATTCAGGCCGCCCACCGGGCGTTTCTACTAGTATCTGGAAAATGGAAACCTGGTCAGGATCTACACACGATCTGAGGAGGCCAGGAAAGTGTGGCAAAAGCTGAATTTGGCGAGGGAGGAGGGGAATTCAACACTTTGTAACTGTTGAAACCGGAAAAAGTGTTGAATTTTGATTCAACAACTGTTGAAAAAACTGTTGAATCAGATTCAACAGTTGTTGAATTACTGTTGAATAAAGTGTTGAGATATGCACCATTATAACTAGCAAACTGTTGAATTGCTGTTGAACCAAGTGTTGAATATATTCAACACTGTGTTGAATAATATTCAACACTTTTTTCAACACTTTTGAAATTCAACACTGTTGAAAAGTGGAATCCGGCTGGAAATTCAACAGTTTTCATTGCCAATTCAACTTTTGCCACACTTTCCAGGAGCGGTAGGGAATGGTGGATTTGGTTGTATTGGCCAAAACCGCGAAACTTGCGGTATTCCGCGAGGACGTCGCGAGAAAATCGCGAGCAAACCGCGAAACTCGCGGTTTTGAGTCCAGTAGTCTGTGCACATAAAAAAATTGACTGCCGCAACTCAGGACTGAAACCGCGAAAACCACGAAACTCGCGGAAAGGTGGCGTTTTTGTCGCGGTTTTGTGGCTGCCGCGAATCCGCGAAAACCGCGAAACTCGCGGATTTATGGAAAATCCACCATTCCCCACCGCTCCAGGCTCTTCATCAAGAGACAACTGGTCAAAGGCTACCAGACACTCTTTCTGAAGTCCGTCTTGAACTCAATCACCAGATACAGTGCCTATTCCGGGCCCCCACCAGTTTCAACTCTAGTAGGAATTCATCATTCCACTCGATAGGTTTTGCAGCAAGGCTGGACCCCGCCCGGCCAAAATAGTGCTCGTGCTTTAGCCGGTTGCAAGGCGACACCAATCCAGTAGCAGCACAGTTGAATGCATGGTTTTCAAAACACACACTGCTTCGAAGCCTTTTGACTTGCTTACTGATCACTCTGTCGCAAAGTAAGATTGACGAGCCCGCTGGCAAAGGCAAGAGTGACTGCCATTCCATGAAATATATCTATACCTTTGACCTCGGCAGTCTTGCTGCCAGAGCTCTCATCCAGGCTTGGTTTTATCCAAATATAAAACCAAAATATAAAACCAAACCAAATTACTATGGTAATTAACTAGTAACATCAAGCCAAAACACAAATATTAGACCGAATTCAAAATATAAAATCGAAACACAAATACAAAATTGAAACACAAATATAAACCCGAATTTGGTGCAAATCGCGATTTCGGGCCGTTTCCATGAAACTACTTCAAACTTGTGACTAAATCTGCAAAATTTTCTGCCTCAGGGACAGGGATCACCATTTCTATTTATTTGATCCAAACCAATTTACAAGTCCTGATGAGCAATTTGGACCAAAAGGCCCCAGGTGCACTGGGGGTTTCCTGCTCTGTTTGACCTACCGTAGCTAGAGAAGTATAGTAAGAAAGTCTTCTATGCTGAAATTGGCTTGTACTGTTAGAAATTATCTGAGGGGCCAAAATGGTGCTACAGGTGAGAAAGGCCCGGGGCTGTACTGGATTTCGAGCTTTCTTATATGTGAGTTTGGAGTGTACATGTACAGTAGCCTACAGAGTTAGAATTTAAATAATAAGCCAGCGAGATCTACAGGGTGGAGGTGCAGCGAGGTTTGAATCGAAACAGTACAATTGCCACAGTGATTATTTTCGCACCAACGTCCGGAGAAGGCAAGCAGGCCGTGCCAGTACACTAAAGTCCACAGTCAAGTTGCACCGACGTTGCTAGCACCAAACCGAGCATTCTAATTGGCCAATGCTCTAGTAGGAGTGTCACGTAGAATCCTCGTACCTCTCTCGAATTTGCACCTTTGAATCTAAAGCTCACTTTTTCGCTGAAATCCAAATTCAAATCTGCCATGTACAATCAGCAAGCTTTCGAAGCCTTTGTCAGGGCAAAAGGGGATGTTTTCCCCTTTAACCAGTTGAAAAAGACCCGTTCTTCCTTTCGTACCAGGTGGGTGCTCTTGAAGAGTCCATCGCCAACTGGAATTATCTACCGTCCAACCAAGTTGTTCGCCCTTCCAGCTTCGTGCATCCGCAATGACCTCTTGCAAGAGGGTATCATCGCTGGTAATTATCTTCCGCTACCCCCTGACTACTGTGATGTCCTTGACTGTATGGAATGGTGGGGCCGTGGTGTTGATCCTAAGTGGGAGCAATCCATTTTGGGCATGTTCGAGTACTACTTGGCGAACCCCGAAATCTTCAGCATTGCTGGCAGGAAGGAGCTTTTCTATGACTGTATTACCCTCCATATCGAGACCAAATACAGCTACATCGACGGGCTTAATAAAACACAGGAGATGGAATATTGGCCCGTTTACTTTGGTTATCTCTATGAGAGCACTACGGACTATTTCGAGTTGGCCACAGCCAGCATTCGTTATGCCGACAACCGACTTTGGGTTTTACACCACTATCATAACACTGCGAACAGTGGAGGAGCAACACCTGATGAGGTTCATTCCGACTGAGCGAGCGAGAAAATAGCGGGCGGCCCAGATAATGGGAATACGTACCATATAATATCCTAATTTGTTGTTGTTGTTGTTCTCTTTTGTTGTTGTTCTCTTTAGTTCTCCACTGGCTCCTTGTACCAATCATAGAAAGAGCTGCCGGCAAAGGCTGCCTTGTGGCAGTATGGACCGACTCGCTGTGGGTTGTTGTGAAGTTCCACCCGCTCACCGCACTTGGAGCATTGCTCATGGCCACAGTTGCTGTCGCATCCAAAACCAAAGACATGCTTGAGCTGCCCGTGAAGCCTCTTGGAGTATCCACACTTAACGCAGTACTTGTTGCGGCGGTAGTTCGGACCGACTGGATTCATAGTAGTGGGCCTTGCGATTTGGTTGGGATTAACCGTGCGAAGTGCAAATGGGGCCATCTGTTGGCTTGCACGCGGTGCATTAACCATACCACTGGCCGCGATGTTGGTATTCAATGCCGTTGGGGTTCCGAAAGGTGTCTGTCCGCCAAACATTTGGTTGTATTGGATGCCTTGAACGATCTCTGCTTGTTGCGTTGGTTGACGGTTTCTGCGATTGTTTCGAAGTGTTGCATCTAGCTCGTTCATGGCTGGGTCATTTGCCGAAACTAAATGAGTACGCCTGATCTTTGCAATGAAGTCATCGTAGTGGTCTTGCAACTGCTTGGGCGTCTTCCTCCTAACAAGAACAGTGTTGTCATTGGCATCTGCTTGCTCCATTCGGCGCATGAAACGCCTGGCCACTTCAATATCCCACTTTTCCGAAAACCGTCCATATCCTCTGGCACTGTACAGACTGGTACTGTACCTGTAATAATCACGACGCATGGATTGAAAGAGTTCTTCCTCGGCCTTATCCGTATCGTCTGAATCCTGGCTATCATATGCCTTGAAAGGGACCCATGGCTGCCCTCGAGTCATCTTTTGTAAGCTTCCAGTGTTGTTTCATAAGCTCGAATCGATGGAAGAGTTGCCGCAACGTCAACTGGAATGTGTCGTTCCTGTAGACCAATGGGATCGAACGCGTCATCTTGAAGATTAGCTGGAAGCTGAAACTGACTTGCATCCACAGGCACATCTTCGTCATTCAACCAATCTTCGCCAAGCATCATATTCGCCAAATCTGCCAATCCTTCCTCGCCTTGGTCATCATCCAAATCTTGCACAGAGGCTTCAGCTGGCTTGAAATTGTCTGGCAATTCAAAGTCCAGCCCCAAGAATTCTTCGAAAGGGAGCTGTGGTGGAGCTGTTATGCCCTGAGCCGGAAGATCTTTGTTCTCGTACCCACATGACTGAGCAAAAGAGTTAAGAAGCAACATTTTGTCCAGACGACATGATACAGGTTCTTCCTCCCCAAGACGTCTCACCCTTTTCCTGAGATTGGATTGCTCGTAATGGTCAGACAAAACTCTCTCAGCACGTGCAATGCCCACAACTGCCGAATTCAACAACCGATTAAGTGCCCTATTATCCACTTCGTTTGTACCAGTGGAGCGAGCTGTGAAGGCCTTGTCCGTGTTTGGATTGACGCGATGAATCTTCACCTTGTCCGCGGGTGGATCCGAAAGACACCCCTGGCCAACATGACCGAGAAGATTGGTGATGGTGTTGCGAACGGCTGCCGTCATTGGCTTCAAAAAACGCTTTGGCTTCCTTCCTTGCTCCTCCCGGTCAATGGGCCCACCAATTGGAGTGGCATCAATCTGCAGCTCCGAAAGCTCCACCATGCAGTCATTAAACTTGACATATCGGAACACTGCGTCAATTCGCTCTTTCAAGTCTTCAGGGCCTGGGATGGTAGCCTTAGCTTCTTTCAGGATTTCTCTGTTGCTTGGTTCACGGCTCAAGCGGCGCTCAAGAACGTGCTTCACTCTTTCGAATTCGTTTGACTCCACAATGCAATACACGGCTCTTAGCCTTATTCGCGACTCGATCCTAGATAGGGTTTGAGTTCGACTCGGAAAAGAAGAGATAACATGTTCTCCAAATAGGTAGCTGATAAAGGATCGAAGTCGTTTTGTCCATCTTCGTTCACCGAGAGCGTGGAATTCCCATGAAAACAATGTCAATGCTTCTCATGGTTCAACGTTTGGTTGGGTCCAAAAGGTGGTAAGACGAGGAGGTCAATCGGTTTCATCCGACTAGGTTGTTACATAAGCCCGAGTTAGACATATCAGCAGGCTACGCATCTTTGCGGCGCATGAAGCTTTTCTGCTTTTCAAGATGCCTATTTTTTTTTTTTTTTTTTTTTTAGGGACAGACCGCTTTCATACAGGCATTTAGCAAACGTAATGTCAGCGTCGTCCAAAGCAGGCTGAGCTGCTCCGTTCCAGCAGCCTGGAAACTGCTTGGAAAGTGGCTTCGTTTCACCGCCACGTAGTCGCGTGGAGGAATCGCGTTGACTGCAATCATGGCGCAAAGGCCTTCCAACTAATTCACGGTGGCCTGCACAGTTAGATTCGTAACTGCTCATTAGGCAGAGCTAGAAGTCATCCCCTTGAGGAGGTTGTGTTGAGTCGTCAGGCGTAGCAATTGGCGAGCCCGACGATAGCCTTCTCCATACGTCAGGCCAACTTGATGTCTGACGTGGAGTCTCAGACCACTGATGTATTTGGTCCTGAAGTGTACTGGCGCGTAGAATCTGCTGGAATAGTGCGAAGTTGTAGGTGGCTAGAGCGGTAATCGTCGATTTCGCATTAATCATCGAGGCCGATGAGAGGAAGGATTGTTTGTCACGCAGCTTGACATCGAAGTGGTGTATGCGTCATTGGCAATCTTCATGGAGAGGAATAGTTTGAGGGTAGCTGAAAGCCATTGTGTTTGTTAACAAAATGCACTACGCTAAAAAGCTATGTAAAGATCTTTCGAGGTGTTTTGAGTTTGAAGAGAATGAAAGTATGAAAGGATAGAAAGTATGAAAACTAATCAACGAGAGAGATCCCAAATCAAAGGATCGTAGACTGAACTCCCGCGGGAGATGTAAAGTGTGATAAGTAGGTCGGTAGCAATCCTACTCACTCCACGATCCAAAAACGGAACGCGTGGAAGATTCTGTCTAGCATTTTTCTAGTAGCGTGGAATCCTCCACCGAGCTAAATATCTAGCGCGATGTTTCACCATCGACCTAGTATGACTAGCGGTCATGGAGAACCCGTCTCAATGACTATTCATCAAAAGACTCAGTCAT